TTATCCACCTATCAAGTCCTTCCCAAGGACCTGGGATTGGCAGATGTTGTTATTTGATGGTGTTAAAGTTTATTATTATTATTTACCTTATTTGGGTTGGATCCAGTGACTCCAATGGGATTAAGAAGGTCTTCTAACCCATGAGGTACAGGCCACAGATTCAGAGCCATTTTGCCAGAAACAAGAGTGTCTGTGTAATCAAACATGTTAATATTTCCCCACGCCAATGGGCAGTGCTCCTTCAAAAGAGCAAATAATCAGTGTTTAGTCTCCTCTATTAGTACAATATTACAAACTCAGATTTAAAGGAAATAAATGAGGAAACATAGTTAACAAAGTAAGTTACAGTATTACTTTTATCAATCAAGACAGTATAAATGTTGAGAATATTTTTAAAACATCTGCTTTCCTTACTTCACTTGTAATTGTTAATTACAGGAAATTTACCTCTTTTGCACCCTTTCTGCCTTTAACAGAGCAGATGGAAAGGCAAAGCCGAGCAGCACGTGGAAGATCAAGAATGAGCATCTCATACTGCAGCCATTCATTCCATCTGAAAGATATATGTTTACGCCCAAATATTTTTGAATAATACGGTAAATCATAAACTGGTAACAAAGATTTTCAGTGGTTACCAATTACTTTCTGGGTACAATTTAAGCAACTTATGTATTTATTTATGCTGACGGACGTGGGGTAGGTACAGCACAATCAACGTTCATCTAGAAAGCCCTAAAGAGCTAACTCTTATTAAAAACCTATGTAAATTTTAAGATTTGCAGGAAAGGCTATTCTGAACTTTCTATTTTGAATGCAGCTCTGCTAGTGCTAGCCAGAATATTCTGTGCCATTATAAAAACTGAGTGTAGTAGGCACTGAACAGTTTTTCCCTATTTATGTCTACTAGAAAAAGCATAGGAGACAGATTTCAGTTTTAGAGTATGTATATAAAACGTGGTGTACCTGCAAAAAGCACAACATAGTGATTGCATAGTTTCAGGAAGGGGTAATCTACTGCTTGTCCAAAGAAATTATCTACATAAAAACAAACTATCTGGATAATGGCCATGGGCAGTACATGTAGTCCTCAGGTTATGACTGCAATCAGGACTGGAATTTCCATTACTAAGTAATGCGATTGTAAAGCACAATGTCATGATTGCATCATTTAGTAACAGCAATCCCAGCAGTCTCAGTTCCTGTCATAACCCTGGGACTGCGTGGGGTGTTAAGTGAGAAGAGTTCCAGGCAAGGAGTGTAGGGAGGTGCACGGGTGCCGTGGGGTGGTGCCACCGGCAGGCACTACAGAGCACGGGCAGGCTGGCAAGGATCATGGGTGGGCACTAGGGAGTGTGGGCAGGCTGGCGGGTGGGCACTAGGGAGGGCTGGTGGGGGATGCGGGCAAGCCAGTGAGCGCTACAGATGGGTGCTTAGGGAGCATGGGCAGGCCAGTGGCTGGAGGGGGTGCTACGGAGTACAAGATCCCTGGGATCTCATACTCCGTAGTATGGCTGCTCGGGAGAAAATATGGCGAAGTGACTTACAGGAGTGACTTGTGACCTTCCCTGCCAGCTTCCCCGTTGACTTTGTGGGAAGCTGGCAGGGAAGGTCACAAATGGTAATCATGTGACCATGGGATGCTGCAACCATTGTTAGTGCGAGCTGGTTGCCAAGTGCCTAAATCGCGATCACATGAGTGTAGGGGTGCTGCAATGGTGGAACTTTGAGGACCAATTGTAAGTACCACCAAAGTCATAACTTTGAACGGTTGCTAAACAAGTGGTTATAACCTGAGGACTACCTAGTATCTTATTTGAATACTACAAATTTTGTGATTGCTTAAGGTTTAGTTATGAATGAAAAGCTTAAAGTGTATGTCAGAAGGATGAATTGGTATAAACTAGATTGTTGATGGTACATATGAAAACTGAAATCCATAGTTTGGTGATAGGTTCATGTTATGTTTCAGTGAATGCGAATAATGAAAGAGCCAGAGATGAGTTTTTGGAGAAACTGCAATATTCTGAATGAATGCAGCTTTGGGTGTGTTTGTGGATATTTCTGCTACCTGACTTGAATGGATGGGTGGGAACAAGATGAGAAAATACAGAGAAAGTAATGGGCCACTCATTGATGCAAGAATCAATGAGAAAGATTATTTGATGACCATGTGCTTAGAGAAAGGTCTGTTTTAAATATATAGTTAAGCATAAACCTAGACATACATATATATGGAAAATGACTAAATTAAAAAAAACATGATTGACTTTATTGTTTATGATGAAATACTGAGAGAATTCATAAAGGGTACGTGGATAATGAGAGGTTCTGAATGTGGGAGATACCATTATTTATGTCCAGAACTGGCCATAAGAAAAATATACATGGGGAAAAGAAGAAAAGAAGTGAAAGGAACAAAACTGAAAGTAGAATGAAGAGAAAGTTCAAGTCTTTTTATGAACAAGTATTAGAAGACAGATTAATCTCCCCAAATAATTAATAGAAAGTGAATGTCAAGCAAGAAGGAAGTGTGGAAATCACTTGAAACTAAGTTAAAATGTTACAGACTACAACAGAGGCAGTCTATAAAATGCACATCAGCAAATGAGGATTAGAGAAAAGTGCTGTGCAGTATGTATATAGAGAAAAACATAGTTTTCCTTAGCTGATTTCTGAGAAATATATGAAAGAAAGAAAAGTTGTATTTCATTTAGAGAAAGCAGATAATAAAGTGAACTGGCTTAACTACTGAATGAAGTTCAAATTGTGAAACAAATATATGTAGGAAGAGTGAATGGGTCAAGTAGAAGAGAAAGAACAAAGCAGTTGTCATTGGCTAGACTAAATATAATGTTCAAAAAGAATGGTGAAAAATATAAAGAGTGAAATGCAACACATGGAGCAACATATGGACATGATGCAAGAAAAGATGTTTTCAAGGACTGTGAGATATGGAAAGGTATAGTGGGGTTAGTATAAGCTAAATTTTAGCTAGAGTTCTTTTTCTTATCTGCCTTAAGACTAAATATAATGTTCAAAAAGAATGGTGAAAAATATAAAGAGTGAAATGCAACACATGGAGCAACATATGGACATGATGCAAGAAAAGATGTTTTCAAGGACTGTGAGATATGGAAAGGTATAGTGGGGTTAGTATAAGCTAAATTTTAGCTAGAGTTCTTTTTCTTATCTGCCTTAATTTATTTGGCTCACTATTTTTTACTCCTTTTTTGTGCTATGCATGCACTGTTTAATCTGAAAGAGAAAAGTGTTCTATGTACGTAATGAATGTGATATTAACAGCCTGATTTTTCCCACTTTCTATTTTGAATACAAAGACAGTTTCACTGGTCTACAATCAAATCTATTATCAACAAAATGTTCTAATGTGGAACACTTAACTTCTCACTATTCTAAATAATCAAGCCAATTCTGGAAGTAGGCAGGTGGAGAGAGTAACAGAAATAATTCTGCAGTAGGGATGCAGGGATGACGAATTTGTGGCTCATTTGAAGAGCCATATGGTCTTCATCCCTGACCTAAAAACTGCTGGGAAAACAGGGGCATGCTTTTAATCTTTTAAAGTGCAAAATATCCTTCAGAGATGGTGAATAACTATACACCTTGTACAAATTAATTCTTTCTTATCAGCAAGAGAACTAATTACCTAAGCAAACTCTAACAGAGAAAATCTGAATCTAATCATTTTAATTTGCTCATATAAAAATATCAAACTAGCAGCAAGCAATGTTAGTTGAGGCACTACTCTTCATTAAAACAAACAGTAGCATACCATGGAATGCCATCCATCCTTCTACAATAGGATACAAGTGAACACATCCTACAATTTCATCTATGTGATTTGCTCTGTTAATACAAAGTGCTAATTTGCTTTTCTTTATTTCAACTGTATTATTTACCTAGGATTGGAGCAAGGTACTCTTTGAGTATTCACATTATCACATAAAGGCTCTCCTCCATGGTAGATACCAGTTCGGACATAAATCTGAAAAAAGGATAAACATAACCATATAAGTACTAAAAATTGGAATTAGAAGATAAGCATCAATTTAAGAAAAGCAAAATATATACAGAAAATGAATCTGTCGGCTGATTAAGGACATCTATCAAATGAAATAGAATTAGTAAGCACAGGCTAACTTACCAAAATTACTTTTCATTTATATTGGAAATCCACCCCATTTGAGAGTAAAAGCAGTATTAAAACTGTGCAGAATATAATAAAGGCCCCTTTATAAAGGTTTTACGGAGTATCTGATATAGTTCAAACTTTGATGAGTATCTAAAGGAAGAAAAATGTCTAACCAAGGCATTATATTTTAAGATGATCCAAGTGGTGAACCACAACACATAAGTAAACCTCAGTAAGAGGTATCCATGCCACCCTGATCAGAACATTTACTAATCGACTTCCATTTCTGACTGGATTCTTTTTGTTAGATTGTCCACACAGAGTTCAGAATCAGATATATTTGGATGTTGCTAATCAGGAACACAACTATCACACTTACACATCCATAATTCCTCTCCTACCTTGTCAATGTCCCGAATATTTACATTTACGTAAGTAGCACAGAGAATCTTAATTCTCAGATGACTGTTAATAACCCAGAGAGATTTGGCAGAAGCTTCCCCATTCATGTACGGAGTAGCTGTAGAAATACGCCTAGAATAAGATGGCATTGCAAATGTATCCAATGGCAGTTGGGCATAAAGACTCTCTTTAGTCATCAGCATCAAATTGGGCATTCGGCCAAGCATGATACAGCTCCGAATATACTGAAATAGGTAAGCAAAACAAAAGAAAAGACAAGAAAAGCACAATGATTGTCCTGGACAGAGCTCTCCTGAAGCATCATTAATTAGCTAGAAAGTTTACAATGTCAGCACTGTTAAGATTTTGCTATTCAGGGCTAAGGAGCCAACACAGCATCAGCATCTAATGAAGCCAGCATGTAAGATGTGGAGTAAGAGAAAAGTTATTCTAGTAACTGATAGCTATAGGGAATTCCTTGCAAAGATGATGTTTGTATTAGAGTGTAAGATAATGTAAAACCAGATCTTCAGACTGTTTTCTGAAAGTAATACATTCACATTTCTTATTTTTTCTAGTAAGGAAAAAGAAGTATCAAGG